AAAGATTTGAAAATTGTCACCATGATAATCTAGTTGTCATGTCAGCATACAAAAATATGATATAATTATTGTGTGTGCTTAGTGGCTTAATAGAGTCTGACTCTGCAACCCCATGGGCTGTAGCCTGCTGGGTTCCTTTGTCCATGAGGATTCTCCAGGCAAGTACCCTGGAGTGGGTTGCCATGCCCTCCTCCAAGGGATCTTCCCAACCCAGGGATTGAACCCAGGTCTCCCACATTGCAGGCGGACTCTTTCCATCTGAGCCACCAGGGGAGCCCATATAATTGTTGGCTGATTATAATTTCCCATGGTGTACCTTTCATATCTCTGACTCCTTTATCTGTGATTCATCTTTTCAGGTGTCTGTTGGCCATCTCTGTGTCTTCTTTGGAAGAACATCTATTCAGATCCTCTGCCCATTTTTTACAACAATTGGGTTGTTCTATATTGTTTGGGGGTTTTATGTTAAGTCATATGAGTTTTGTATACTTTGGCTATTAATTCCTTGCAGATATATCATTTACAAACATCTCCCATTCAGTAGGCAGTGTTTACATTTTGTTGTTGATCGTCTCCTTCACTATTCAAAAGTTTTTCAGTTTGAGATAGTCTCATTTATTTTTTCTTTTGTTGCCCTTGCCTGAGGAGACATATGCTTTGGGAGAAGAACCCTGCATTGACAGGCTATTCTTTACCACTGAGCCACCATATTCCTTTCATAGTTAAGACGATTAGGGACAGCTGTGATGTGCTTTCAAGCCCCCCCACCCCCCCAATTCACCCGGCCCCCTAGTTACAGCCTCATTCCCTATTATTCTGACAATGTTAAAGTAGTTTTTATTTCAAGCCATCAGTGATAATGGCCTGTAATTTTCTATTGTTGTAGTATCTTTGTCTAGTTTGGTGTCAGGGTGATGCTGGTCTCAGAATAAGTTCAAAAGCATTTCTTATTCTACAGATTTTTGGAATCATTTGAGATGGATAGGTGTTCAAAACTCTTCTCTAAATGTTTGGGAGAATTCACCTGTGAACCTGTTCAGTCGAGGATTATTATTACCCAGTTTCAATCCTGGTGTTAGTTTATACTTTCTATTTCTACCTGGCTCAGTCTTGGAAGATTGTACATTTCTAGAAATTTGTCCATTTCTTCTAGGTTTTTAATTTTATTGGTGTATAATTACGCATAGTAATCTCATGACCGTTTATAATTCTGTGATGTCTGTTGTAACTTCTTTATGCTCGTTTGAAGAGGATTTTCAATAAAACAAATGCAGTACTTTCTAAAAAACTTCAGTAAAATTGTATGTAAAATAAGTGTTGCCTGTATGACACATTTAATAACAATTAAGGCATGCAAAGCCTTACAGGCCCATGCTGTTCTCGATCTAATCTCATAGTGCTGGTGATTCCCAAACCACGAAAAACACCTTCACAGAACAACCCAGTCTCCAAGAGCCAAAATGCTATGTGAGATTTGGATTCACAGTTGTGTTCCCTCAGGTGGACAATGGCCATCTGATCCCTCCCTCAGGGACTTCACACACATCATTTCCAGTGACTGCTACCCTTTAATCAATATTTAACCTCTTGCACAGTAAATTCTATTTTGCATTTGTAATTTCTTATTAAAGAGACAGTTTTTCCGCCTCCAAAGTACTTCATAATAAACAAAACTGACGTCAAATTTCTGAGAGGAAAAAGGGAGTCACGTAGATGCATTTCAGATTGTGTACCTGCAAAATTCCTCCAGTTCCTTTCAGATCCTTAATTTAAGCATTTACCTTTGTTATTTCAGAGAATTTGAAATTGTCATTATTCTCTGGAGAATGATTCCATTGTGCTGAGTCCCAGTTTTCCTCACCTCTGTGTATTCTCAAGTATTTGGTTAACTGCTCTAGTTTAACTTCCAACTTAGTGTAAGACTATTTCTCTGTTGTAACAATATGATAAACATAGTTTCTATATACATTTTTTCTCAATTTTCTTAATCATACAATCTCTGTAGCAGAGATTCCATATGCCTTGCCTCTTCCGTAACAGATTCTCTTCCTAGGAGAGGGCGAAATCAGGTCCATTCTGCACCTGGGGCTGTGTGTGCAGCCTCCACTGGACTATTCAGCAAATAGGGGCAGCCTTTTTAATTTCGAGCTAATTCCCTGTGCTAGTATAAAAACTACTAAGAAATTAATTGGTGTTTTGCATTATTCACAGAAAGTTGTATTTTTTCTAGAACTATCTTTGCAAATTATTGTAAAATGTTCATTTTACTTCTTAATTTTACTTTTGATACTAACAGTGCTGTTGCCACTGCTAGCAATTTTTCTGTCACAGTTTCTGCTTTAGACAATTTTCATTTGTTAGACCTACCTATGTGTGTGTTTAAGCTCATTAAAGAATCATGTGGATCTGTGAAACTAGTTTCATATGACTGTAAGTTTTCATTAAGATATTGACTTCCAATCTAATTTGGTAGGAGGCTGAGGGCTTGGACCCAGGCAACAGGCCCCTATTTCAAAGTAGAGAACTGAATTTTGTAGGTTTTGTGGTTTTTTTTTTTTTTAAGACTGTAACTGATAAGATTTTAATTTTATAATAGTTCAATTCTTTTTGGAAGGGTACTTTCAACACTAAAACTACCCCAAAACTGGAAATTATGTATTTCTTATGAACAGCACAGGGCAGCCCTGTATTTTATTGGCAAAAGTCACTCATGGAAAGAGTACAAAATGTGAGGCAAGACCAATGCTTTAAAGCATAAAAGATTCTGCAACATACTGAGAAGAGACTATACCAGAAGAGAGGCTTAAAAAGCTGGCTTTTTCATTCGTAGCTGATATTTTCTGAAAATCTACTGAAAGTCCACTTTCAGCAACTGAAATAATACAAACTGGCTACTTCCTATAAGTGTACCTGGTTGATCCTCTGAATACATTTCATTAAGAAGCACTATAATGAATGATAGAGTGTGAGAGGAAAATCACGTATAGCAGTTTGTGAACAACCAGATGTTATGAAGCTTTCTCAATGTTAATTTTAAAAATCTGAATTCACTCAAGCAAATCATTTTCTGAAATTAAACCAGAGAATTTTGTTAATGTTCTTTCATCAGAGTGTTACCATTTCCATTTTCACATGTTAAAACATTGGGAAAAACCTGAACTGTAATAAAATTAAACTGGTAATTACCTTTGATTGCTACTAACAACCTAGCATGTCATCAATACAATTAAAATGGATAGAAAGTTTTGCATATTGTAGCAAACAGCATGAACTGGATATACTCAAAAGCCACTCGTATCTGCTTTCTCTCTTGGCCTTTCTCTCCTGTAGAGACCAGAAAAAAAAAAGTACTTGATTTCAAATACCTGCAGTTAGGGACAGACATAAGACATGGTTCTGGCCAGGGAGGGCTGTCCTTTCCAAATAAAAAGTAAAGATTTGCGAAGAGAAAGCCCCTTGGCCTCTTTCTCTTTTTTCTTCTCTGGATGTGGAAGGACCAGAGATATTATAGTCCCTTTAACCAAAGGACAATAAAAATGAACACAAAGGTCTACCCGGCAGACCACACAGAGGTGAAAGGAATCAGTGTCCCTGAGCCACCTTCTCAGGGCTGGACTGCCCACCTCGGGACTTCTTATTGCAGAAAATACATACAAGCTAACAGATTAAGCTACTCTAGTAGGGTTTTTCTACTAGTGCAGCTGAATGCACTTGTAGTAGATATGAATATAAAATTCCGAGTAAAAATCCAGTTAAGAGTCATGAAGAAAAAAAAAGTTATGAGGAAAATCTTCAGCAACCCTTCAAATATTCTTAAAAGGACCTCGATGATAATTTTGTTTTATCTGAAGAAGACAAATACTGCACAACAAATTAAAAAAAAAAAAAGGAGAGGAGGGAGATGATGTTTGATGGTAGTGAGACTATTCCAATGCCAAACAAAAATGAGATAAGGCTGGAGAAGAGCATGACTCTAATAGCAAACAATTATGGTCTAGCATTTCCTATTTGTTAGTTTCAACAGTCGGCGAGTCCATTTCTTGGGCAAGTCCATTTCTTGGGCAGAGGGATTCTAATATTTTTTAAGTCTGAAACTTCAAACTTGGGAACTTTTCCTCCAGGTTACCAGCAATGGTCTTCTCAGCTTCACGGAGGATTTTAAGAAAATCTTCCACCACAGGGCTACAGAAAGGAAGAAGAGTCTCAAATGCACAGGAACACTTCTGTTTGCTTAACTTGCCTTCCTTTAATCTCTGAGTTACCTTTCTCCTTTGTTAATACTTGGAAAATATTAGAAATTTACAGGAAATATCCTTCAAGATTTTCAAGTGGAAACCATCTTGGGTTAAATCAGACTTTTAGTTTCTTCTGTGTTAGACTCCGTTGAGTTCTCTGCGTCCTTCCGACAATGTTCCATATTTTGTAAGACACAAATCAGGCTGTCACTTAGAGAAAGATCCACTCTTCCTATCTTTAGATACTCCTGTTCAGTCTGTGAAGCATAGATGGCAGACAACACTGAAAAAACAAGAGGCCAGCACTGTTTTCTGTTCTTGCAGTATGATGGGCGGATTATCAGACTGGCAGAATTCATGGCACACTAGGTCAAAAAGTATATTCCAGGTGTCTTTCCCAGTGTCAAGACACTGTACAATTGCTTACATTCCATCATCTACTGTGGTGAGCAGCTGTAAGACATGCATGTAAACATCGAGCCCTTCTGGATTTTCAGAGTGTACTTGTTTTGCAGCTTCAAGTACACAGGGCACAATTTGAAACACTGGATGCTGTTCAGAATCTTCCTGGGGTTGGTGCAGAGCCTGAACAGCCCCACTTCTAATCTATTCCAACATTAGCTTCTCATCCAAATCAAACAGCTTGTCCACAACTTCCCCAACCTTTACCAGCAAGTCAACATTTGTTGAACTTGACATGATGAAGCAAATGCTAGCATAAATAAGCAAATGCTAGCATAAATAGCTGGATTTTCTCAGATTCTTTCAACCCAGACACTGGCCACTTCTGTCTGGGAAAGGCAAGTAAGTAACAACCTGCTTGTTACCAGCAGAGTAGGAGGGTCTGAATACTTGGCCAAGATTTTTATCACTGCTGATGGACACACATATCTCCTGGAAACAGGCCATATTACCTAAAATTCCCACACATATTTCTCTTAATCGAGGACATTTGGGTTTGGCCAATACTCCCATAAATATGTCAGGAGCATTAAATTCTTGGAGAAACAAAGCCACATTCTCATCCGTTGACATATTCCATACTCTGCAAATTTCATTCTCCATTTCTTCATCAAGCTCCATCCGCTGCTCGTCATCAGAGCTGGATTTGGCATTTTCAGGGCTAACCATCTGGATGAGCCCGTTGAGGATGCCGAAAAGCCAGTGCTTGCTGGAGACCACGCTGCCTATGCAATCCCCCAGGGCCGTTGCCACCTCCTCCGCCAGTAGTTTTTAGTATGAATCAGGTATCTACTGAGAAAATGAAAGGTGTTGTCTTTTGATGAGAGATCACTTTAAATTTTGGATTACAACTAGGAAGGCAAAGAAGTAAAACTGCTAGAACAAAATTTCCATTTCGAAGTATTTATTTTTCTAAACAGTTTCAGACTATAAAAAAATACGTTCAAACACTAGATATGTTCATATAAGTATGTTCAAACATATACAGATAGAACATATAGATAGGTTCAAACACATATCTATAAAAGAGAACAAAGGAAAAGAAATAATGCCTACACATTGCTATCACTGTAACTATAACAATACTATGTGCCCATGAGTGCACAAACTCACTCAGGCAGAAAGGAAAGGAGGGTGTGGGAGGCAGACACAACTATCCAGATCTTTAAATGAGGCAGCTTTCACTAAAGTTTTATTTTCAGTTTTATATATACCTGTCAAAACTTATTTATATTTAAACAATTGTGTGTTGTCCAGATGATTTTTAAACTTATTTCTGCTCACCAACAAGTTTTTAAATCTCAATTTCCATTTTTGTGTATAAAGCAGATAAAACTAAATAGACGTATCTTACATTAGGATGAAATGCTGAATCTGAAGTTGAATGAAAATGAGCTCGAGGTGAAAAAATAATTACCTAACCTAGCTCTGTGTTAACGAATAATAGTGTATTCTATAAACTGATGGTGGTATTGAATAGCTATTTCAATAGAAACCTTTAAAAAAACTGATGTGAGACCATTTTGTTTTGTAAAACGTCCTGTCTTGGGATTTGCATTCTTGCAACTACTAACCAACCATAAAGTATTTTGGACGCCAAGTTTAAAATGTGTGGAGTTTTAGAAATTCTTTTACAGTGAACCCATGTAGAAAAAAGAATGAGGCGGGCGTTTTTCCAGCCGCTGTGGTTGAGGACACGGTGGCGGTGGGCACGTTTTCTCCCCAGCCCAGCCCAGCCCAGCCCAGCCCAGCCCAGCCCAGCCCTGCCCTGCCCAGCCCAGCCCAGCCCAGCCCAGCCCAGCCCTGCCCAGCCCTGCCCCCAGCCCTACCAACCGAATCAAGTATCCAACCTTCTTCCTTTGGACATAATTTCCAAAAGCCCGGTTGTTAGCCTTTAATTGAACGTCAGTTCCTTGCCCGAGATGACACGACCTTTCAACACATCTAATTCTCAAAACAGCTCAAGAAAGTGATTATTTGAAATCCCCTTCTTACAAATAAGAAAAAACAGGCAGAAAAGGTAGGCGATATCTTCCTCAGAGTGAACTCTTCACGCTAAAGCACTTTCTCTGAACTAAGATGACATTTTCCAAATGAATGCCGTGAACTCAAAGGGAAAATTGTGCGTCACCAGTGCGTCACTGAGAATAATGGGGCTGAAGTGGAAGTTTACATTTGCTGAGAAAAAGGTTAACTTTCTCTTAAATTGCCCTCCTCTCCCCAGTCCCGCCCTAGGTACCTGCAGCCAGGGTGGGCTTACTACATCCAGTTCTCGAGCACAGAGAGCTGTGTTCCACTATGCTTCCATTTTCCTTTCGGTTTCAAACATTCCGCTTTTGAAGAATCCAGACATGCAAACATCCTCCCGTAAATGTTCATTGCCTTAGGATAAAGATATCTGGTCTGGGCGGAGATGCATTGCCAGGCGCCAGCGCCAAAGCTGTACAACACCCTCATTAATAAACACGGAGGTATTCGAATGGCATACAATCCCTCTGGGGAAGCGGGAGATGGGGCGGTGGGGGTGATGATGACCCGCGCCACCCACCCACAGGCGAACATCACGCGCACACAAAATTGTACCATGCCCACAAGCGTCAGAAATGGCACTCTCCAGACCCTAAAGACACTTGAAATCAAGGTTCCTATTTTGTTTAGTGACCCGTCGCTAGCTTTGAGTGGAAGCAGTGGTGGAGACGCAGCCTTTTCATTGTTTCCCGCACTGTTATTTTTCCTCGCCAGCCCATCCCCGACCACTGGTGAAATACAGGTACACTTTCGCATTCTGCTCACATACACACGCGCACGCACGTCTGTGGGGCAGGGGGGTGGGGGAGAAATCCAAGCGCGCTCCTAGTAACCTAGGAGCCACCACGAAGTAGACAAGGGATGCTTTTACATAACAAACCCTTCACGTGTTCGACACCCTTTCTCGATCTTGTAAGTGGCTCTGAAAAGAGCCTTTGGGTTTCCGGGCACCGAGATGCACCTCATTTAGAGCTGGTATATTTGGTGACGGCTTTGGTACCTTCCGAAACAGCGTGTTTGGCCAACTCGCCGGGCAACAGCAGGCGCACAGCCGTCTGCACCTCCCGGGACGTGATGGTAGAACGCTTGTTGTAGTGCGCCAAACGGGAGGCCTCGCTAGCGATGCGCTCGAAGATGTCGTTCACGAACGAGTTCATGATGCCCATAGCTTTGGAAGAGATACCGGTGTCTGGGTGCACTTGCTTCAACACCTTATACACGTAGATGGAATAACTCTCTTTGCGGCTGCGCTTACGCTTTTTGCCATCCTTCTTCTGCGCTTTAGTAACAGCTTTCTTGGAGCCCTTCTTGGGTGCGGGAGCTGATTTGGACGGATCAGGCATGACGGCAGATCTTTCCAAATAAAACAGAAACCTCTTTACAGAGCTACTTAACTTATACGTCCTGTATTCAAATGAGGAATCTAGAGTTTCTAATTTCTGATAGGATCAAGCAATGCGCAACGTCATCACTGGAAAAGGCAGATGCAAATTAGGGGGAAATGGTGACTTCCTTTTCTGGTTGGTCACCATTACTATCCAATCGGGCGGCGCCGGCTGCACTACCTCAAGACCATATATAAGGACTCTCTGATTACAGTGGGTTTGTGGGTGTCCTGATTTTCGGCTTTGTCTGGTTCTTGTGCGTGACTGGGAGATGTCCGGCCGAGGCAAACAGGGCGGTAAGGCGCGCGCGAAAGCGAAGTCGCGCTCCTCGCGCGCGGGCTTGCAGTTTCCTGTGGGCCGAGTGCATCGGCTGCTCCGCAAAGGTAACTATTCTGAGCGTGTGGGAGCTGGCGCGCCTGTTTATCTGGCAGCAGTGTTGGAGTACCTGACGGCTGAGATCCTAGAGCTGGCGGGCAACGCGGCGCGCGACAACAAGAAAACGCGAATTATCCCACGCCATCTGCAGTTAGCCATCCGCAACGACGAAGAGCTCAACAAGCTGCTGGGCCGCGTGACCATCGCGCAGGGCGGTGTCCTGCCCAACATCCAGGCCGTGCTACTGCCCAAGAAAACGGAGAGCCACCACAAGGCCAAGGGCAAGTGAGGCGACGGAGGCGGGCCGGAAACGGCCGTGCTCCCCAGGGCCCCCCTGACACCAAAGGCTCTTTTCAGAGCCACCCACAGTGTCTAGAAAAGAGCCGTACTGGCCGAGGGCTGTCTTTCGGAGCGTGTTTCTGCGCGAATCTGAGCAAGGTTGGGCTTGGGGGAAGTCGAACCAAAGACATGATTTGGGTGCGCATAGGGGCGCAGTGGGCTGTGTGTTTGTTTGCCGCAGGTAACGTCTGACTTTTCGCTTGAATCTCACCCCCAAGGTCATGGAGTTTTAATCCGACTCATCCTTAAGAATTTGTTATTACCGGTGACAAGCTACTTTTGATACTGTGACATTCAGATGCCAAGTACGGACTGTTTTCTTTTCCCAGGAGAAATCCATAGATTGAACTGGTATTGAAAGTATTTAATCTTAAAAGAAAATCTGTCGTTTGAGGTTCTGATAGATAAGCGTGATTTCCATCTTAAAAGGTATGAACGCGTGAGTTAGATTTTTAGAGAACATGAGATCAGAATTGTCTATTGTATTGCGAATTCTAAGTTCTTGGGAAGGGTATGTCTTGTTAGATGCGTTTTCAGCATTTGAAATGTATCAGGTTACATTTTGAAAATAGGTGCACATTTTTAAAGGAAAACTCATTGTAGATTAATTATTTAAAGGAGTTTAAATTACTATATTTGTGTTGGTTAAACATTAATAAGAGCCCCTTAAACTAATAGCTAGAGTCAAGATAATCAGTACATTGAATTTGATAAAATTATTTTTGTGAATTCAGTAAATCTAAAATGAACAGTATTAGGACCAGATTAAGTAATGTATATGTGGATATTTCAAAAGATGATTGTTCATGAATTCCACATGCTGTTACAAATAAGGGGTGGAGTGTCCCGGATATGCTTCTGCAAAGTCTACTGAGAAGTGACGATTTCAATAGCACTTACTTCATGGGATTGAGGGATTAAATGAGTAAATCCATAGTAATCCCCATGTTTAAAAATCTCTGGCACAGGATGAGTTTAGTAAATGTTACTCTTGCTGTCATCCTTACTGGTTCCATTAATTTTTTATTACAATACATACAGGCCACTGAACCAATTTAGGAATGTTATAAATATTTATCTTACAAAATTAGATGTACTCAAACCAGAGTTCCCTAGACACTATCTGGAACTAACCACATATTTGCTAGTCTTTAGAAAATATCCTAGCAACATGAAACTGCACCAAAAATTGATAAGAACTATCAGTGTGGATAGAAATATCACTTCTAAGGCTGAGTTTATACAGCCACACGCTCTGATTAATTTTCAGCTAATTAAAATTAAATACAAAGGTGCAGTTTCTCAGTCATCCTAGCCACACATGGCTAATGGCTACCACACTGGACAGAACAGATATAGAAGGTCTCTATCATTACAGAAAGTTCTGTTGGGCAGTTCTGGTCTGATCATCTGTCAGGGTTATCAGGTTTAGAAACATGATGCAATATGCAGAGCTGCCTGCCTTGGGTAGAGAAAGCTCATCAGACTCATGCCTAAAGAAGAAAACAGTGTATGGCCTAGCCATTCTATCCCCCAGATACATACAAGGACTCAGCTACCCAAACACCCCTCTCACATTCACAGCAGCATCCCAAAGATGGAAACAGTCCAAATGTCCATAACAGATGAATGGGTAGACAAAATGTGGTCTATCCATATAGTGGAATACTATTCAGTCATAAAAAGGAATGACATGTCCATGGATGAACTTCAAAAATGTTGTACTAAGGTTAAAGAAGGTGGACACTAAAAGTCACATATTGTGTGATCCTATTCATATGATAGCATACAGAACAGACAAATTCATAAGGACAGTAGATTAATTGTTGCTAGTTAGTTGTTGGGTATTAGAGGGATATGGAGTATTGTTCACTTATGGGGTAATGAAAATATTTCAGAGATGGAAAGAGGTGATTGTGAGTGTCTATATGTCACTGAATCACTCACTTTAGAATGGTTTATGTTTATGTGAATTTCACCTTGATTTAAAAAGATATGTGACCTTAATAGAAGGATATGCACTAAAAAGAAGAGGAGTTTATGTCTCCATCTCTTTTATGCAATAGGTGGAGTGTGGGCTGGCCTGCCTGCACAGTAGCATCCCTCAGAGACCACGTGGGGAGAGGGGCATGGAGTCCTTTGGGTAGCCACAGCCTTTTCCTTCTGCCCGCCTTGGAGTTTCAAGCCTTCTTCCCATCCAACTGACACATATCATGCATTCCCTTCACCAGAATTATCTTGGTTATTCTCCCCATATCCCTATGGGTGGGCACTTTATTAAGAAAGATGAAGTGGGAGGGAGATCCCAGAAGAAGAATGCAGTCTGGGTGGCCTCAGAAGCATCCATGCTCACTGCAGATAAAGCGTTCCTAGTTTCTGGAACTCTCAGCTTAGCCTGGCCCAAGTCTAATAGGCCATCTCACCTGTCTAGGTGTGACCTACCTGCCTCTGCTGCACATCTAGTCTTTCCTCCCTGTAATACCAGTTTCCGTACATTCACCAACAAATTCAAGAATCTTCCAAGTGAAAAAGCAAATGGATTCCTCCCCTCTCCCCAAAGTTTCTGAGCTCCCCTAGACTAGGGAGAGCAGAGGAACTTGGAATTAGAAATTGAAGTACTGGGTCACCCAGTTCCTAGTGCCATCAGATCTGGGCTGAGCTGAGCTGTTCTACATCATTCTGTTACATGGCTGCCCCATCCCTGGTCATCAGAATCTGCCTAATGCTCCCCCTCCACAGTTTCCCTACCTCCAGCTAGAGTCTTATTTTTATGTATTGCTCACAAAGCCTCATGAAGCTTTGATTTTCTCCAATGCATGCCCAGCAAGAGCTTAAAATTGCATCCCTTTCTCTGCCTGCTTCCCTCCCTCCCAGTTCCTGGTCAGCTGGGTTCTACTGCCTCCTGTAGAGGTCTCCAGGGACACCAGATCTTGGTGCTTCTCTCCTCTCTCAACTTTGGTCCCAACAGCCCCTCCTGTCAGTGCTGCCCATGGGTCTCCAGGACCCCTCTGCTTCCTGCTGCCCTGTCCTCAGCTCACTCCCAGCCACATGCAGCCCTCTGGGTCACGTCCTTCCAGGTCACTCCAGCAGGATATCAGATCTGCCCCCAAATGTCCTAGAGAGCATGTGGGTCAGCAGTTTGAGCCAAATTCCATCACCTCAACTAGCTTTGTCAGTGATGTTTCCTAAGGCCCATTTGACTTTGCACTCCATGATGTCTGGCTAAAGGTGAGGGATTCACATCATCATGGTTATCTGGGTCATGAAGATCTTTTTTGTATAGTTCTTTGTATCCTGGGCTTCCCTGGTGGCTCAGATGGCAAAGTACCTGCCTGCAATGCAGGAGACCCAGGTTCGATCCCTGGGTCGAGAATATCCCCTGGAGAAGGAAATGGCAACCCACTCAAGTAAGTATTCTTGCCTGGAAAATTCCGTGGATGGAGAATCCTGATAGGCTACAGTCCATGGGGTTGCAAAGAGGCGGACCCAACTGAATGACTTCACTTTCACTTTTTGTGTATTCTTGCCACCTTTTCTTAGTATCTTCTGCTTCTGTTAGGTCCATACCATTTCTCTCCTTTATTGTGCCCATCTTTGCATGAAGTGTTCCCTTGGTATCTCTCATTTTCTTGAAGAGATTTGCTAGTCTTTCAGTCTTTCCCGGCAAAAAAAAGAAAACAAACCCAACAGTCCAAATTGATTTAAATAAGCATAGAACCAGACTCAGAACACAAGTGTTGGAATTATCTTTCAGACCAGAATTTTAAAACTGTGACTAAGATGTTAAGGGCTCTAATGGATAAAGTAGAGGGCAAATGCTAAGAAAGTATCAAAAGGGAATGTGAGAAATTGAAAACACTGTAACAAATGAAGACTGCCTTTGATGGGCTCATTAGCCAGCTTTCTACAGTCTAGAAAAGAATCCATGAGCTTGAAGAAATGTCAATAGAAATCTCCCAACTGAAATCCAAAATGAAAAAGGAATAATAACAATGAATAGAAAATAGAATATTCTAGGACTGGGATAATTACAAAAGCTGTAGCATGCCTGTAATCAGAATAGTAGAAAGAGAGAGTAGAAGAAATACTTGAATAATGGTTGAGAATTTTCCAAAATGATGGAGACTAAACCACAGATCCAGGGGGTTCAGAGACCACCAGTAAAAAAGAAATCTACGCTGAGGCACATTACATTCTATTGCAGAAAATCAAAGATGAAAACACCTTGAAAGAACCGGGGCGGGGGGCGGGGGGGGGGGGGGATGGGGCAACACTAACAACAGACTAAGTTAAGACTTATCATCAGAAATCATGAAAGAAAGTGTAGCATGACATATACAAATTATTATATTTTTAAAAATCACTAACCTAGAAATTAGTATCCAACAAAATAATTCATCAAAAGTGAAGGAGAAAATCAAAGACCCCAAATAGACAAAGCAGTCTTGAAAAAGAAGAATGGAGCTGGAGGAATCAACCTTCCTAACTTCAGACTATACTACAAAGCTACAGTCATTAAGACAGTATGGTATTGCTGCAAAACAAAATGTAGAGCAATGGAACAAGATAGAAAGCCCAGAGATAAACCCAAGCATCTATGGGCATCTTATCTTTGACAAAAGAGGCAAGAATATACAATGGAGAAAAGACAGCCTCTTCAATAAGTGGTGCCAGGAAAACTGGACAACTATATGTAAAACAAAATAGAACACTTTCTAACACCATACACAAAAATAAACTCAAAATGGGTTAAAGATTCAAATGTAAGGCCAGAAACTATAAAGCTCTCAGAGGAAAACATTGACAGTATACTCTTCGATATATATCACAAGATTCTCTTTGACCCAGCTCAAAAAAATTATAATCTATTCTTAGTAACTGATAACTGTTCAAATAATAATGGCAACAATAGATTGGATGATAATGACAGCAATGTTAGAGATGGAAGAGAGGAAATGGTAATATTCTGTTATTTCTAAGTTACCTGTACTAACCCATGAAATGAAATAGTGTCATTTGAAAGTGGAACAGATCACTAGCCCAGGTTGGATGCATGAGATAAGTGCTCGGGCCTGGTGCACTGGGAAGACCCAGAGGGAGCGGGTAAAGAGGGAGGTGGGAGGGGGGATCGGGATGGGGAATACATGTAAATCCATGGCTGATTCATGTCAATGTATTACAAAACCCACTGCAATATTGTAAAGTGATTAGCCTCCAACTAATAAAAATAAATGAAAAAAAAAAGTGGACTGAGATTGGCTATAAACCTGTATTTCAAACTCTAGGAAAATCACTATAAAATTGGTATGCTAGAGGATAGGGTATGGAATCATATCACGGTACAGCCATGACAGAGATTTATGAATAACTTTAATGTTCATAACTACTTTGAAATGACAGTAGTTGTAAGTCTTCCCCAATTAGAAGCTGTTTAATCACTGATAAAGATACACATTTATAATGATGTGACAAATTTATATTTTGATAGTTTGCATTTTGCTAACTTCAATATAATTGATTCTTTGTATTTTTTAAAAAAATTTTTACACTTAAAAACATTCTGAGGCATTCCACTTTATGCATTAAAAATATTTTTAAATAGTCCAAGCTTTACCAAACTACCATCATCCATCCATCCGTCATCATTCCCTTTAACCCTGGGAACATGCAGAGATTCTGACACTACCTATTCCAAATGAGTGATGGCTTTGAGGAGATTAACCAGTGTGTCCCAGTCAGATGAAGAGTCTATCCCTACTCAGACCCACATCATGCACACCAGGGCTTGCTTAGGATGGTCCCTCTGGTCCTTCTGCCTCTCTCCTAGCCAACCACACCTGACTTGAAGAGGGTGGCAGGACTCTGTGCAACAATTACTGTCAAATGAAAAAAATTCCAGATATAGTAAGCAGAGATTTTCATTTGAAAAGATTATTGCAAGGGAGGGGAAAGGGCTATTGCAATAGCAAAGGAAAATTCTTTCTTCTACCCATCTTAGTTCTTAGCTGGGGCTCTGTTAACAGAAGATGAATTAATGAGAAAATCATGAAAGTTCCACCATGACTCAGGAGCCCTCATAAGGAAATGAATACCCACAGACAAAACCAAAATGCTTTTGTGTTAGATGAAACAAAGGCAATTATGGGAAAATGACTAAATTACACCTGGGAGGCTACAAGAAGACAGGAATTATCTTAATAAGGTCAGTTTGTGCAGAATCCTCTTTGGTCTTAATATTTCATCCTCGATGACAAGACTGTTTCTTCTTGCATAGGGCAGGCATCTTTCACGAGGGACTTTTAACTCCCGTTTTCAGTAAGAAAGGTGATATCAGAATGCTCTCCCATCAGCTGTTTTTCAAGTGTCTAGTTTAAAACAATCCTTTCACTCAACTAGCATAGTATTTGGGGATGGCACATTCTGGCGCCCTTCAGCCATGTCCTTAAGGTCTGTAAGCCTCTTACAGGTTTAGGTAGTGAAGGATCTTTATATTGAGAAGTGAGCAAGACTAGGAAGAATCCGGTATAAGGAAGAGGAATGCCAGGGCAGTCGATGGGATGGTAGGTCAGGGAAGGCTTCACCCTGAGCCCAGCCAATTCCCAGGTTAGGGCTCAGAGATAGGATATTGAACCAAAGCTGAGCAGATAAGCATCTTGTTCATAACTGTCAGGCTGGTTTATTTCTCTCATCAGGTTCTCAACATAGATTTGAAATACCGAATTAACTACAGCTCAAGCACTTAGGATTATCTCAGCTTTCCTCTGATATAGCAAAAGTTTGAAATAGCAGGCTAGTTATGGCCCAGTAAGAGCTCAGGCAAACAAAACTTTATAAAAAATATAATAGATAATACACTGTCAACACAGGAGACAGGACCAACCCTGGAGAGGTCCAGATCCTGCTTGGTTTTTCCTTTATATATGTCATGATTCCTCCTTCCGTTTCAGCTTTATGCAAAATAGGGCTTCTACCTGCCACGAATCAGGGAAAGGAATGCAAATAGCATGCGCCCAAAGCCAATCAGGGAAGAGGGTATATCTTTGGGGGGGCAGTTTCCTGCCAGAGGCCCTCCCTTAGGTCCTCTACTTCCTGTTCTTTCTGCTTCGCCCACTCCCCACCCCTCCCCCACCCCCGCCTCCACCTCCCTACCGCCATCTTGAGTGTCATCAGTGTCATTTGGCGAAGATGGTTCACTGCAGGGCACAGTGATTGAGGGAATTCCTTTAACCTTCAAGAAAATTCAAGTTGTCACTACCTACAGGCCAAATGCAGAGTGTAAGCTTCTAGAACTTTCTTCCCTCAGCCCATAGGGGAGGAAGAGAATGCTGAGGAAAAACAAGGGAGCTGTACATGGAGATGCAACACACACAAAATGACGCCCACCTGAACCCAGACCTGATGCCCACCCCGATCCCACTCAGACCCACTTGGTCTCTGAGCAACCCTGCGAGCTCCAAGACGCCAGCCTGTGAGGCCAAGCCCTCGCATCCCGAAAATAAGGGGCAGGCTCCCATGGTGTATGCCTCCATGGACCAATCAGAGCTCAGCCTGCCCTCACGCCACCCAG